GTGGTAGTGCTCGCCTGTAGTCCCAGCTACTCAGGAGGCTGAGATAGGAGGATCACTTGAGCCCAGGAGTTTGAGGTTGCCGTGAGCTAGGCTGATGCCATAGCACTCTAGCCCGGGCGACTGAGTGAGACTCTGTCTCAAAAAAAAAAAAAAAAGTAAGTCAACAGAGTAAGTAATTACCCTCTCTAATGTGGGCAGGCCTCACCCAATCAGTTGAAAGCCCAAAAAGAAAAAAGACTGAGGTCACCAGAGGAATAAATTCTGTCTTCAAACGGCCTTTTGACTTGAACTACAATATCAATTTTTTCTTGTGTCTCCAGCCTTCTGGTCTGTCATGTAGATGTCAGACTTGCCAGCCCCCACAACCATGTGAGCTGACCCCTTAAAATAAATCTGTCTGTATACACATCCTGTTGGTTCTGTTTCTCTGGAGAACTCTAATACAGGACCACACAGCCTCTGTTGCCAACTACTCAACTCTGCTGCTGTAGTGAGAAACCAGCCATAGAAAATACATAAACAAATGGATGTGGTTGTGTTCCAATAAAACTTTATTCACAGAAACAGGCAGTGGGCTAGATTAGGCCCATGTAGTTTGCTGACCTCCTGTTTCCTGACAAGTAAGCATTGTACCTTGTACAGAGAAGGCACTTTGAGTTATAAAATATCATTTTAAAAAATCTCTAGAACGAAGGTGAACAAATAAACAAAATCAATCAGTGAGACTGATCAGTACACTTGCTGGCTATAAGACTGGCAGCTGAGTTTAAGAGCAGAGGCAGCAGCAGACGGGACTTTCACGCTATCTTTGATTTCCATTGTCCTGACGTGGTCTGACAAGGGTATCTGCGTGAAGATATATCATTTGGCATCCGAGGGGACTGGCCCAAAGGAGGAAATAAAAGCTATGGGGAAGAGGCTATGTTCTACCCACTTGCCAGCTTGCCTCAGGGGGATAGGTTAGCCACAGAGACGATCTCTGACAACTCCCAGGAACTATTAATAGCTGGAGGCAGCAGTACAAGAACTAGGATTTATTTTAGCAAAGACGATGTTAAAGAGCCCAGGACAAACCCAGCAGCAAATGCTGGGAAAAGCTAGTAGCCACGTATAGCCTGCCCACGGCTCTGGGGCCCACAGCCATGCTTGGGAAAAGTCCAGGCTGTGCCGGCACAGGAGCTGCTCCAAGCTGACCCTGAGGAAGGGCTCATGCCACAAACGCTGCCTGCTTCAAACAGCTGAGGCTGGCAGCTCCCTCCTGGCTGCACCGGAGCAAGAGCAGAGGAAGGGGAACAGAGAAAGCGCCGTCTCACACAAACTCCCCACAGTCCGCGATGATGACCTTCTGCTTTGGCTTCCCGTCCTTGCTGCCCTGGGCCTTTGTGGGCAGAACAGAAGTCAGGGGAGTGAGTGGGGAGAGTAAAGAGTGGCTTATGGACACCCATGCCCACCCTGGAACCTGAGCAGAAGCAGCCCCTTCTCCTGGAAGCAGCCTGGCACACATCTCCCAGGCCACAGAGCACCCTCTCCAGCCCTCCCACAGGCTGTGCACCAAGGGTCCAGGCGAGGAGGCCTGTTCCCAGCCACGTACCTCAATCTGCCGCAAGACATCCAGGCCCTCGGTGACCTCTCCAAACACCACGTGCTTGCCATCCAGCCAGTCTGTCTTGTCACATGTTAGGAAGAACTGGGAGCCATTGGTGTTTGGGCCAGAGTTGGCCATGGAGAGTAGGCCTGGGGGAGAGTATGACCATGTGAGCTCCTCCAATCCAGGCAATCAACCCTTAAAGGACATCTGTGCAGTGTCCTGTGCAGTGTGCAGGCTCACACTCTGGGAGGCACACAGACCATGCAGATATGGCCACTTGTCTTTCATTCAATTAACAGTCAATGAAATGGGATAAGCAAGGTTATTTCAATCATTTTATACTGGTTTGTTCTTTCATTGGCTCACACCTGTAATCCCAGCACTTTGGGAGGCTGAGGTGGAAGGATCACTTGAACCCAGGAGTTCAAGGCTGCTGTGAGCTGATTGTGCCACTGCACTCCATCCTGGGTGACAGAGTGAGACTCTGTCTCAAAAACAAAAACAAAAACAAAAAACAATAGTGCAGTTTGGGAGGAAAGTGGGATATACAACGAATAAAATACAATTCAAATCACCATAGTCTTATGAATGACTCAGATAAACACACAATTAATATTTTGGTGACTTTATTTCTAGGCTTTTTGCTTAAGATATAGATATAAATACCTATGTTTACATATTATAAATATTTTTACAAAGTTGGCATTACACTGTGCTATATACATTGCTTTGCGATGTGCTTCCTCCACTTTAGTTTCCTGTCACCTGAACTCTCCAAGACTCCATTTTCACCACTAAAAAGTCGGTCCCATAATTCCTTCCTCAGAGGGTGGCTGCAATGCCATGACCATGACAGATGCCAGTAGCATCTGGGGGTGGCTGTCAGAGGAAACTCCAGCAGTCACAGCACAGATCCTGGGGCCACCGTCCCTCGTCTCTGCCTTTGTGCAGCTGTTACACGACCAGCACATGGATGGGCTCAACTCGGAATAAGTTAGGAAATGAATCAGCAAAATGGAGCCCTGTGCCCTCAGTCCTGGAGCTGGAGCAGTGGAGAAATAGGAACACGGGCCGGGGAGGTCACTTGGGACAGGAGCCAAGCTGTCCCAGGGAAAGCGGCTTTGCCCTCCCAGCTGCAGCGAAGGGTCTCCGCAGTGCCTCTGGGTCAAATTCCCAGATAGACCAGAGCCCTCCTGAGGCAACAGGGGGCTGCTGATGCATTGTGAGTGGCTGACGCAGGCGGTCAGACTGCTGGGCATGCTGCTCCTCAGGCTCTTGGGCCCTCTCCTCTCCCCTCCAGCCTGGCAGGGTAGGACCCTGTTCCCTGTGTCTTCCCCATAGGGTTCAGGCCAATGATGGGGACGATGACTGTGTCTTTCTCCAGGGCCTTGGGCCCCGCCTGCCACAGATTGAGGCCAGAGCCCAGCAAACCTCCCAGGATCCTATTACTACCAGGGAGAGACAGGCCAAGCTTCCAGTCCCAGCTCTGCCACACCACCTTAGGTGACCTTTGGCAGTCACGTCACCTGAGCTCTGGTTTACCCTGTGTAGGGCTCCAGTGTGGGTTCAATGAGATAACATCTACGAACACCAGGGAGAGCACAGGGAAAGGAGTTGGCACCCACTGACTCCAAACCTGCTGAGCTTTCAGAACTGCCCACTGGCCTCCACCTCCCTAGGCTATCAGGGAGGAGCAGAAAGTGACAAGGTCATCGTCACAGGAGTCCATCCTCTTGTGGGAGGCTGGCTGAGCTCCTCAGACACAGCCTCTCTTGGTTCCTGTACAAGCCCCAGGTCAGTGCTATTGTCCCCAGCTTCACAAATGCCTGCCCTAACACTTGTGACTGATCTCAGATGGCCACGGTTTGCATTGTAGCTCTGTGCTTTGAGGGTCTCTTTTGTGAGCTCCACAGAGGTCAGGCGGAACTATGTGGTACACCCCAGTCACGTGGAGTCAGAAACAGCCAATTGTAGCAGAAGGAGCTCGGAAAGTCCAGGTGGCACATGGTAGCCAGAGGTAAGAACAGAATGCCACCATTCCTCGGCAGGAGCTATCTTGGTCATCAGGCCACAGGCTGGCAGGCCTCTCCTGCCTTGTCTAGATCTCAATTCAGATGTGAAAGCTCGGCCCAGTGGATTTGGAATGGTCTGAGTAACCCAACCCACAGGGAGGTGTCCAGCATGGACACCAAGGCTCCACGGCTTAGTCCCTGCTCAGAGCCTTCAGCAGATGAGGGATTCTTTAAAGCCACCTGGCTGAGCAGCCTCTGGAGGAGAAGGAGAAACAAGGTCCAAGCAGAGGCTGCACACAGGAGGGCCAGACTGTGAGCTCAGCAGGGGGTGGGGCCACTTGTTCTGTTCAGTGGTTGGCAAACTTTTTTCATAAAGGCTCAGATCGTAAATATGTAAATATTTGGGCTTTGGGACTGTGGTGGTTAATTTTATGTGTCAACTTGGCTAGGCCATGGTACCCAGCAGTTTTTGGTCAAATGGTCTGGATGTTGCTATGAAGGTATTTTTTAGATGGATTAATATGTAAGTCAGGGCCGGCACGGTGGCTCATCCCTGTAATCCTAGCACCCCGGGAGGCCGAGGTGGGAGGATCACTTGAGCTCAGGAGTTCGAGAGGAGACTGAGCAAGAGGGAGACTCCATCTCTACTAAAAATAGAAAAAATTAGCCAGGTGTGGTAGTGCTCGCCTGTAGTCCCAGCTACTCAGGAGGCTGAGATAGGAGGATCACTTGAGCCCAGGAGTTTGAGGTTGCCGTGAGCTAGGCTGATGCCATAGCACTCTAGCCCGGGCGACTGAGTGAGACTCTGTCTCAAAAAAAAAAAAAAAAGTAAGTCAACAGAGTAAGTAATTACCCTCTCTAATGTGGGCAGGCCTCACCCAATCAGTTGAAAGCCCAAAAAGAAAAAAGACTGAGGTCACCAGAGGAATAAATTCTGTCTTCAAACGGCCTTTTGACTTGAACTACAATATCAATTTTTTCTTGTGTCTCCAGCCTTCTGGTCTGTCATGTAGATGTCAGACTTGCCAGCCCCCACAACCATGTGAGCTGACCCCTTAAAATAAATCTGTCTGTATACACATCCTGTTGGTTCTGTTTCTCTGGAGAACTCTAATACAGGACCACACAGCCTCTGTTGCCAACTACTCAACTCTGCTGCTGTAGTGAGAAACCAGCCATAGAAAATACATAAACAAATGGATGTGGTTGTGTTCCAATAAAACTTTATTCACAGAAACAGGCAGTGGGCTAGATTAGGCCCATGTAGTTTGCTGACCTCCTGTTTCCTGACAAGTAAGCATTGTACCTTGTACAGAGAAGGCACTTTGAGTTATAAAATATCATTTTAAAAAATCTCTAGAACGAAGGTGAACAAATAAACAAAATCAATCAGTGAGACTGATCAGTACACTTGCTGGCTATAAGACTGGCAGCTGAGTTTAAGAGCAGAGGCAGCAGCAGACGGGACTTTCACGCTATCTTTGATTTCCATTGTCCTGACGTGGTCTGACAAGGGTATCTGCGTGAAGATATATCATTTGGCATCCGAGGGGACTGGCCCAAAGGAGGAAATAAAAGCTATGGGGAAGAGGCTATGTTCTACCCACTTGCCAGCTTGCCTCAGGGGGATAGGTTAGCCACAGAGACGATCTCTGACAACTCCCAGGAACTATTAATAGCTGGAGGCAGCAGTACAAGAACTAGGATTTATTTTAGCAAAGACGATGTTAAAGAGCCCAGGACAAACCCAGCAGCAAATGCTGGGAAAAGCTAGTAGCCACGTATAGCCTGCCCACGGCTCTGGGGCCCACAGCCATGCTTGGGAAAAGTCCAGGCTGTGCCGGCACAGGAGCTGCTCCAAGCTGACCCTGAGGAAGGGCTCATGCCACAAACGCTGCCTGCTTCAAACAGCTGAGGCTGGCAGCTCCCTCCTGGCTGCACCGGAGCAAGAGCAGAGGAAGGGGAACAGAGAAAGCGCCGTCTCACACAAACTCCCCACAGTCCGCGATGATGACCTTCTGCTTTGGCTTCCCGTCCTTGCTGCCCTGGGCCTTTGTGGGCAGAACAGAAGTCAGGGGAGTGAGTGGGGAGAGTAAAGAGTGGCTTATGGACACCCATGCCCACCCTGGAACCTGAGCAGAAGCAGCCCCTTCTCCTGGAAGCAGCCTGGCACACATCTCCCAGGCCACAGAGCACCCTCTCCAGCCCTCCCACAGGCTGTGCACCAAGGGTCCAGGCGAGGAGGCCTGTTCCCAGCCACGTACCTCAATCTGCCGCAAGACATCCAGGCCCTCGGTGACCTCTCCAAACACCACGTGCTTGCCATCCAGCCAGTCTGTCTTGTCACATGTTAGGAAGAACTGGGAGCCATTGGTGTTTGGGCCAGAGTTGGCCATGGAGAGTAGGCCTGGGGGAGAGTATGACCATGTGAGCTCCTCCAATCCAGGCAATCAACCCTTAAAGGACATCTGTGCAGTGTCCTGTGCAGTGTGCAGGCTCACACTCTGGGAGGCACACAGACCATGCAGATATGGCCACTTGTCTTTCATTCAATTAACAGTCAATGAAATGGGATAAGCAAGGTTATTTCAATCATTTTATACTGGTTTGTTCTTTCATTGGCTCACACCTGTAATCCCAGCACTTTGGGAGGCTGAGGTGGAAGGATCACTTGAACCCAGGAGTTCAAGGCTGCTGTGAGCTGATTGTGCCACTGCACTCCATCCTGGGTGACAGAGTGAGACTCTGTCTCTTAAAAAAAAAAAAAAAAAAAAGAAAGAAAGAAAAAAGAAAAACCAAAGAGTCTACTTTGTAATCAGGCCCCTGTTAAGCCCTGAGAACACTGATGAGCAAGACATACTTCTAAAAGTCAGTGGAAAAAGAGTCGTTCAAAAGGTAATTGAGCTATGACAGCTATGACATAGTGAAGCTCAGTGACACAGACATTTGTGTGGGGAATGGAAGCATGAGGCAGTCATGTAAGGGAATGTGTGTGTGTGTGAGTGTGTGTGCACATGCACCGGAGATTACTGGACATATTGTGACACAGAAGAGGAGTCAAGGATGACTCCTAAGTTTTGGACCAAGCAGCTAAGTGGATGGTGGTGAGGAAGAGTTTGGAGAAGGCAAGAATTGTTTTGGACATGTGAAGTCTAAGATGTTCATGGAGTACCCAGCAAAGACAACAGGCAGGCAGTTGGGCAGGAGTCTAGAACCTCTGGAAATCTGAATGTGGG